TTCAACCCAGACCTACTGTATCAGTATATACGGATTTCCTAGTCACAAATTGTTAAATTATAACATTTCTATGAAAGAACAAATGTTAAAGTATATCATACATGGAATCAGAAACATAAACACACACCCCTGTATAAAAACACTTGTAAAGCTGAAACTCTAGGGTGCATATTTGTGATAATCCACTCTCAGACTGTATAACTAGTGTGTCTTCTCCAAATTTTAAATGTCCGGCCTGTTTAAAGAATGCATACTAATTAAAATCTTTACGGTTTTAATGCCCCAATTTCATCCATAGGTTACAGACTGCATGACTATACCCTTCCATTCCTATTTTAGAAAGGATGAGGGGGAAAAGGGAGCTAAAAGAATTTTTATAATTTCAATGTAATATTTCCTATTATTTTTTCCTGAAGTCTAAATTTCCTGAAGTGTTGTTGCTGTGGTCTTCAAAGGTCTTTTCCTAAAACTACTATAAATCACTTAAAAGTATTGAAGCAATATAGAACTTACTGATGCATAAAATATGCACCACTTCAAAATATAGCACTTAACTTTCCCTCTGTGAATAGATAGCAACAGGCAAGGTAGATTTGTACCTTACAGACTAACTAAAGCAGGTGTGGGAGGTGTGTGCCCAAAAGCTTGCAAATAAAGACAAGGCAGGCAGGGAGGGAGGGAGGGAAGAGTGGGGAGAGGTGGTAGTGCTGGAAGAGGCAAATAAGCAAGCAACAAACCTATAGGAACAAAGGGATAAAAATCTGTAGTCCCTGTTTAAACCATACTTAATACAATCCAGTCTATGGGTGGTTTCTTGTTATGCAATTTCCCATTCAATTTGTTTTTTAAAGTTCTAGGGTGGTGACAGAACTGACAATTTTCACCTGATCTGACCACAAAAAGTAGTTTATAGCTGTGACCAAACACAAGTGCATGGCAGCAAGCAATTTAAAAAATGGCCAATTGAATGAAAATCTGACCCTTTATTGTTTGATGTATCAGAAAAATAAGTTACAAAATGTAACCTCTTTGGTAACTTGTGTCTGCAGAGCTCCCAGCCTGTTACTGTTTTTAGAATGGGAAGGGGGAAAGGGAGTTCAGTCTGGAGTTTTTTCAGTCCCTGCCCCCACCATAGGGTTGGGTGGGTGTATTGCAGCCCCCACCCCCAAGGTGGTGGGGGGAGGTTTCCAATTCACCCACCCCACCCTTTAGCACCAGCTAGGCAGCCTCAAGAATGAATTCCCTCTGTTGCTGTTCTCCCCTTCCATTATGAAAGCAGGGAGCACTGGCAGAGAGCCTGGCCGTTGCTAGGGTATGGGAACCCAGCTGCAGACTTGCAGCCACAGCTAGATTCCCCTCCCCCCTGGAACCAACAGTGAACTTCTGTTTGGTCTGGGGTAACGCTGCAACTCAGAACATTTTGCAAAATTTGTTCTGAGTCACAGCTGGGAGGTACACTTTTGTCTGCACCCCTACTACCTAAGAACATCTATATGGAGGTCACTGATGGAGTGTCCAAGGAGATTAAAGTGCTAGCGTGGGCTTTTGTGTCTTTCTGGAAATGATGTCAGATAGGTATTTTTTCATTCTTATATGCAAGGATCACTCCATCTGTCTACTGAGGTGGCATAGGGGCACTGTAAGCCTGTGATGGAATATATGATGTTGGTAGGGTTCCAGGTGAATGAATCTTGGATGTTATATTCTATGTTATCCAGTCCAGCTTATGCTATATACTATATTTTTATCTTTTTCCCTAATCACAGAATCAAAAAAGTTAGGCTTGGAAGGGACCTTAGAAGATCATCTAGTCCAATCCCCTGCTCAAAGCAGGATCATCCCCAACTAGATTATCACAGTCAAGGTTTTGTTTAACCCTGGTCTTAAAAGCCTCTAAGGATGGAGATTCTACAGCCTCTCTGGGTAGACTGTTCAAGTGCTTTACTACCCTTCTAATGAGTAAGTTTTTCCTACAACTTGAGACCATTGCTCATTGTTTTGTCATCTGTCATCAGTGAGAACAGTGTAGCAGCTCCATCATTTTTATAACTACCCTTCAGGTAGCTGAAGGCTGTTATTAAATCTCCCCTCAGTCTTCTCTTCTCCAGACCAAATAAACCCAGTTCTCACAGCTTCTTCTCATAATCCCTAGCCCTCTAACCATTTTCTTAACCTTCTGCTGGACTCTCTCCAATTTGTCCACATCTTTTCTGGAGCAGGGGGCCCAAAACTGGACACCGTACTCCAGATGTGCACTCCAGTGCAGTATAGAGGGGAATCTGGCCAAAGCCAGAGCTAAGCTCCTGCCTGCCCCAGGCTACGGTGGCTCATATGGCAGAAGAGGGGGCTCCCCACCGTTGGGGAGGTCATGCAAGGGAGCGCACAGAGAAAACCACGAACTGGGAGAGGATTCAGGGGACAGCTGCAGTGTACAGCCTGGGGAGAAGCATGGGGAGACTTAACAGCCCCTCCCCCGCCACCTGTCACCCTGGCCACTTGCCTGCTACCATCTCTTACCTTTCGCTCTGGCACCAGCCAAGGCCTGGAGCTATACCACTGCTTCTGCCTCACCAAGGTAGGTTGAGGTTACCACTGAATGCCCTGGAACCGGAGCTGGAGCCACTGCAGAAGATAAGTGCAAAAGTGGGAGCACAGGGAAGGATCAGGGGGCAGGTGACAAGGAGCAGGTACCAGAAGAGAGACAGGTGGCAGGGGGGCACAGACATGGGAGGGGCAAAAGGTAGAAGTGGCTGGGGAGCAGGCACCAGGATCCGGCATAGGCATGGGGAGGGGCAAGGAGTTGGAGGGAATGTGACAGGGGGGATAGGTGGCAGAAGTGCAGGTGGGTGGAGGTTTGGCCCTTCCCCTCCTGCTATTGCTTTCCCTGCCGTAGTGTTGGGAGGGGGAACTTAAGATGACCTTCCAATAATTAGACTCTATATATGGAAAATTATAACCAATGTATCACTTCCCATATATAGAATCTAATTATTGGGAGGTGGTCAGCTTCAATTTAATGTCATCTTGGATTTGGGTAAATATGGTAAATCTTTGATTTAGTAAGTCTCTAAGGTATAAATCTACCTTATCTTCTTTGAATGGAGCCATTGAAGTCAAGGGATGACTCTGGTAAAGTTAACATGAACATAGTTGTTTGTAGGATTGGGTTTGAACAGATGCCAACCTCAGTCTTTAGTGAGATCTGCAGAGGCACAGAATCAGCTGTATTACTCTCAGTTCAAGATGAGAATCTATATTACATTTTCAATGTTGATATATAAAGCTATAAAATGTAGCAACAGCTTTTTAATATTGTTTCCTTCTAATAAACTAAAGATGTACATCAATGAAGTACTTTTTCACAAATGAGAGTCACATATAGCATTTCATCTAGCTCTTTGATTCTTGGCTTCATTTTTTAATTAAAACAATTACACACACACAGTATGTTTGGGCAGCTAGTTAAAAACTGTTCACTGTTCGGGGTTTCCTGGAAAAAATATGTTTAGGGACTGGTGGAAGCAAATTTTATGTCCAAAAGAACTAATTTAGGTAGTTTTTGTGGATCCAAGGGTGATTGTTGTTTACTGTGAGGGAGAGTGCTTAGACTGGTCACAGTATTCATACTATGAATGCAAAAATGCTTCATTGTTCTCCTTTAAATCTTTTTGAGAACAGCTGCTGTTTTCTTTCCAGTTAGGTCAAGCAGCTCCTGCAGACTGAGCTCAGGTGAGCTGTCACCTGGGGGTTAAAGACACACCTGGAGTTAATTAAGGCAGTAAGGCTGGTGCAAAGTTGTAAAATGAAAGATTCTGTTTTCCATCTCCTTTGTTCATGGATTAGGAAAGCCATATAATAGGAGACATTATGCAGTAGGTTATATATTCCAGAAACAGAAAATAACAAGAGAGCTGCACTTTGCACATGAACAGACAATAGCCTTTATTATAAGGCTCTGTAAAGTTTTGTCTTTGTAACCAATGTGATGAATCGCATTTTGCTAGTAGGAGTAAATTGCTGAATTCTAATACCTTAAAAGATTAAGAGAATGTATTCCTGGGCAACTTCTAACAACCTATGCTTTAGCACCGCTCAGGAAGCTTTAGTTGATTTTAATTTATTTTAATAGAAACTGTCTCCTATGAAAATTGGAATTCACAGCACTTTGGCCACTTAAGAGACTAACTGATCTAAAAGTCAAGATTTTCTATTTAACAGTAACAGAATGTTCTAAGCAGATCATTGGCAGGCATTACTGCCTTCATTGGGGGCCTGGAAATAGAGGACATTCCACTGAGTTCACTGTGCTAACTTGAATGCAGCTTTTGGGGCTTTCTGGAAATGTTACATCTGTACCGTAAAGCAAAACTGCTTTAACTAAAACTGTGACCGTCTTGTAGCACACTATATTCTGAGGGCTATAAAGCTGCATTTTTTAAAGGAACAAACCAGGGAATCTCCACTTTTGAAAGAGGTGTTAAAAAACCTTTAGTGAACCACTAAGAATCTCTAATTCAGCAGCATGATTTCTTGTCTTAAACAGTATGATCTGCATTATGAAAAATACTGTATATCCACCACAATACCCATATTCTTCTAAGGATTTTTCTTCTGTGGAAGTCAGGATTAGGTATTCCCTAATGGCTTTCCAGCTCCAGAACTGCTGGGACAATTAGCGACTCTCCAGGACAAAGGAACCAACAAGTGTTAAACACTGAGTAGCCTAAAGAAATGTCACAGGCAGCTCTGCCAAATTTCCCTCATTTGGAGGGAAACTCCCTCAACTTAGTTCATTTGAAGGCATTGTGCTGTGTGTTTTAATGGGGCATTTAAAGTTCACTCCTGATCATTTTCAAATGGCAATCACTGTGGCTGTCAGAGCTGAGTGTCACCCCTGTGAGAATTCAAACACAGAATGGTGGAGGAGGAGGACAACCTGGATCCAAATTATGTTACTTCTCACTGAAAAAAGAAAAAAAGGAAAGCACTTGCCTAAATGCTGGCACTCTCTAATACAAGTATTAAGTGGTGTTAAGGTCTTCTGCCGAATACACATTTCCCCACTCACTCAGATCACCTTAAACACCCATTAATCATACTTAATTCGCATAGACATTCTTCAGATGTTTATGGTGCCTGTACTTGGGGAATGAGACAGTTGGCTTAAATCTGTGAATAGGACACTTTTAATGTCAAAATAAACCATCTGGCCCTGCAAGTGTTTCTAATTACTTCCCAGCCTAGACTGTAAACTTTGGGGTTTGGCACTAGCCTCTCTCCTAGAGTGCTGCCCAAATCCAGCTTCCAGGCAGCTAATCAAAGGCACTTGCAGCACCGAGGGAAGCAGCTTTGGAGCCGGTTTTGGCCAGCTCGGAGCTTTGCAGACCTAGAGAGGGTCTGTCTGGCTGTGGGACTCTAGTAGAGTGCTGCAAACTGCCTGGGATCTGAACATGTACGCTCAGGGGCTCCTCAAACTGGTGCTGCTGCTGGCTGCTTCGCTTCTGAGTCTGCTGCCAGCGCTTCCACCTACTTTCTCCCTGTCCCTGCGGTAAGTTTGTGTTTTTAAATCAACTCAGTTACTTAGCTGTCATCTCAAGATCTGTACTTTAACTGGGAACAAGTTGCCACGAGTATATAGTCAGTGGATGGAGCCTGTTCCTATTTAAAATAAGAAATCTGCAACACACATGACTTGCTTAAGTTTGCATTTTGTTGTGGGTAGAGTGGCACTTGTGCATAAAATATGAGATCATAAAGTTTATGTACTGTATATTACACAGGGAAGTCTTTAATATGCAGGTATCTACAGGCAAAAATAACTGCTGAATCTTGATTAATTCAGCATTTGGCTCTCTAAATGTCACTGCCTAAATAGAACAGAAGTGCAACTACAGCCGGTCTACCAAAACCTGGTATCCCCATGTGGTCTGGTGCCATAGCACAGCAGGGGTAAAAAAGAAAGGAGGGGTTGAAGAAGGCAGATCCAGCCCTTAGTTGCAGTAGGACTAGCCAATTTTTAGACCCAGCCCACATAACTTTTATTTCTAAGAACAAGTGTAGTTGCTACAATTGCCCCCAAGAAAATTCAAATTGCCAGTGCATCCTGGCACAACAGTGTAGCAGATGTCTAGATCTGGTACTTGGATTTGGCCTGTCTTTTATCCCAGTCTCCTGAAATCCCAATGGTTAAAGAGTTAACGCTTATTTGTTCCTGATGCACATTAGAAATCTGGACTCTGATGTGCTTCAGCAAAATGGAGCTACAAAAATCCAGACCTGACATCTAAATCCCCCTGGATTTTGCCAAATTATGGTGATAAATCCAGAAATTATACCAATAAACTTGGGAAAAATTCTTGCTTCTGCTATTCTACTAAAAGGTCTGGACCAAATGTGGGCTGACACAAAAAAACTGAAAAAAAACTTTAGTTGAATCCACTTCGATACACATGCCAATTTTTTTTTTAACCTCAACATCTTCAAGTTTTACTGTGTGAAGTTTGTATGTATAGGACTTTTCCAAGCCCATTAAAATAACCTGGATTGAAATGTATCATGGCGATCCAGCTTTATATATGTATGCATAAGAAAATAAATATGACCCTAATTAAATGTTAAAGATAGGGTTTTGAAACCCTGCAAAATAATTAAATTGCAATGTATGCATTCCCACAAGTGATACACTGGATCAAAATTCCAGGTACACTGTGAAATGTCAAGAAGTCTATGAAACTTTGAATTAAATCGCATCTATGCAGCCACAGATTTCTGTGCTACTGTGCAGTTTTACAGCCACACATAAAGCAGAGTTTTAAGGTAACAGGTAAATGTCTTGCCTCATCTGCCCTCTTTAGCAGCATCTGACTTTGATTTTGATTGAAGCAGGTTTTCTTTGTCACCTTCCACAGGAGCACCTCTACCAATGCTTCCTCATGCCGACTCTCTCGGGCTGAGTCAGAGCTCAGGTGTCGTACGCCAGGAGGGAAGCTATGCAATGGCAGAGGCCAATGTAATTGTGGTGTCTGCATCTGCCGAGTGACTGAGCCAGGGAAATACTATGGACCCCTGTGTGAGTGCCACGACTGGGTGTGTGACACTTATGATGGCAAGATTTGTGCAGGTAAGCGGTTTTCTCCAGTGCACTGAGTCTGCTACTCTAAAACTGGCAGAGGCCTGGCATCCCTGTCACCAACTTTCTTCTTTCTAGGTTGATGGCTTCTCACACTAGTGGCAACTCTAGTAACATGAGGATCCTGGACATTATAATTAGTTATGCTGAGGAGCATAGTACAGTTCCATTTTAAAGTATAGACAGGATTGTATAAGTCTTATTGAACCATAGCTTTAGTTAAATAGATGACACATCCAGGGTTTCAGCAGGGTTTGGGAACACAATTTAAGTTTCTCTCTCTCCCACATAATCAAGCAGTGTTGTAATGGAGTCTCCTGACTAGGTTGCACTAGGTTTGGAAATTCGGCTTTGAGTCAGAGAAGTGACAAACAACTGTCAGCACATGATGCTGCTGCATCAGTATTACTTTGTACAAATAATATGATTTGATCCATGAAACAATCTTTCTATACAGTATAAATGAGCTTGGCACAGTGACTTTTAAGACTTTGTTTACTTTTGGTGTTTTACTGACTATATACTGTGTAGTACTTTCATAAAAGATATTAGATTGACAGGTACAAAATAAACGTATGTAATTTTGTTATTTAACATTGACATATTTCCCCAAATATAGACATTGCTTTACAAATATGGACTAAGATTAAATGGCCAAAACCTACTTTCAGGTATATAAACATTGATCTCATTGACTTCAATGGAAGTTGCATATATGTACCTCTCCTTGTATAGAATTTAGCCAAATAACCACACAAACACACAGATTGCTTTGCATCTAACATTATCCACTTTTGCATGTTTTCCAGCTGTCTTCATTTAAGTTTCTGATCTATTTCCACCAGATTCTGAGAATTTTCTTTAAAGCTGGAGATCAAGATGGGAGAAAAGAACATAGGGAAGAAATGTCTATTTATTGCATTCCTTAGGTGGTGTGGCCTGGGGCTTGATGAGAGGGGACAGAATGATACTTCATTTCAAGTGTCCTTGACTAAACATCTTTACCAGACTCACATAAACGTGTCATTTTTTTCAGGCCAAAACCCACAATTAGGTCAGTGGGAATGTTAGAGGAACTCCGTTAGTAACAGGATAATAGAAATGCATTCCAGCAGAGGGTTTGGCAAATTTTGTAGGAAAAAATAGCAACTTATTTTAGTAACAATGTAACCAAGAAAAAGTAGTCCAATAATAACACAAAAAGATCAAGAGTAAGATTATAAGAAAAATGTTTGTACTTGGCACCTAAAACCTGAGAGTTCTAAGGAGAAACCACTTTGTGTGTACCCTTCTGAGCAGTGCAAGACTAGTTATGCAAATAATTTAGTGGAGCATATATACACTTTAGTAGTTTGTTCTCTCCAAGTTAGACTTTCTGGTTGTTGTTGTTGTTTTTGGTTGGTTTTTTGTATTGCCATAGTTTGATCTATTAACTTAATTTGGTCTCTAAAATTGCTGCTGGGGTGGTCATTTGGGGTGAAACTGAAGCTACTCCTATTTTAATATATCATTCCAAATCCAATTGCTATAAAGTTTTATTACTCTTGGCTTTTCCCCCTGCTAATACCATGAGCCATAGCTGAAAGCTTTGGCAGTACTTTGGTGAGCAGGGCAGAACTGAGTCTGAAAAGCTTCTAATAATACTGTTAAATTCTTTAGCCCTTTATAACATGTTGAAATTGTAAATATTAGAAAAGACTACTTTCAACTGCTTTGAGGATTAATCAATCAGCAATGTTGAGCTGCTACAACTGATGCATGCAACGATTTAATCATGCTCCTAAAACAAAACAGTAACACATTTTTAAGTCTAGGGGCTGGATTTGGAGCTGCTCAGCACTCCATTCCTACAAAATTCACTTGGGAGTTTGGGTGCTCAGCACTTCTGGAAATTAGACTTGACTGATTTTGCTCATGGGCAAGCCAATGGCTGAACCTCATTTTGAATTTTAGAGCTTCTGGTTTCCAGTTATGTTCTTAATCCACTGGTCTATTGCATTTTTAACCAGTTAAATTTAGCAATCAGTGGTACTGTGTGTTGCTCCTGTATTAACTTTCCACACCCTCAAAAAGTTATCACATTATATAAGGCAGAGTTGCAAAAGAGTATTCTTGCACACTTGGCAAGGGTCAATGTACAGTGACTCTAAAGACCAACATTAATGTTCCTTTTAATATATATATATCAAAAGTAAAGTAATCATAATAGGAATCAAATCAATAACAAAAATTACAAGGAAAAAAAATAAGGGACAAGAGTAAATAATTGGCAACTTATAAAAAGTAATCTTGTCTACTTAATTTAAAAAGATTAGCCCAAACTTGGATGAAATAATTTTTTTTTTTAAATCTCAGTTTTCATGTATTTCTTCTGTTCTGTCCTCTTACAATAAAAATGTTGATCTTTCTAGGCAACTGGGATATGCCATCATTTTTGGACACAGATAATATGATGTCCTGAGACTCTGACAGACACTTGTATGTATAGTGATCTGCTCTTTTTCACAGGATTGTTTTGTTACTGTAAATGATTGAGGGTTAGCTCATACACTTTCTAATTTCAATAATCTTGAGAAACTGGCTTTTAGGATAAGATCCCTAATCCTAATCTACCAGGAGGTAAATGGAAAATGAACTCCATGGAAATTTGAAAGGTTGGAAATATGAAGTTCTAAATTGAAAAATTAAAGCTTCAAAGCATTTAATACTTTGGGAATCTTTCTTTCTCAGCTAGTTTGACACATCTGCCTATATGGGGGTGAACTGACAACAGTTCTCCTTTGAGCTGAGAGCAGATGATTGAGTTATTACAGGGCTAATACTGCCAATCTAAAGAAACTGCAGAAAAGAATGGGCACAGATTGGTGTGAACCCCATGGCTAAGTATAGACATTCAAAAAACATGACGTAGAATTGATCCAATCTATGTGGGTTTCTCTAAACTGCATAGTTTGGATTAGGAGCAAAGGGAAAATATGTGGAAGACATCTGCGCTGACAGGCCAGAAGGTGAGGTGGGGGTGGGGATGCTCCTGAGTGCCTTGCAATGTGACGGAGAAGGCTGAGGGCAGCTGAGCACAGCCAAGTGGGAGCCATTCCTGAGTTGTTTCTGGCACATGTCCCCAACACCCTGGTGTTGGCTGTGGGGAGAGGGGAGCTGGCACAGAATCTCTCCCCAATCCCCCATAGCTCACCAGTGGTTGGCTGTTAGTGGTGGTAAGGTGGAGAGGAAAAGCAGAAGCTTCAGCTTGTGGACCAACCCCCCACCCCAGACCTAGCCAGAACAGTTGGAGCAGGTGTGTGGTGGGGTCTCCTTTCTCACAAACGCCCCATTTGACTGCCTGACAGCTGCAGGGAGAAGCTGTAGTTTGGAGCTATGTAGCCCACTACACCAGGAAATGGGGATGGGAATTGGGGGAACAAAGGGTCCCCCCCCCACAAGCTTGCTGGCTTGGATCTGTGGGGGGCAGATTGGGTCCACATGGTTGGGGCTTTACTCCCCCACTCCGCCCCTGGTTCCTGGTACAGCAGAGAGCTGCACAGCTTTGAGCCATGCCTCCTGGATGCTGCTGTCAGGTAGTCAGGCAGGAGGAGGGGAGTGGTGGTAGGGGAATGGAGCCGCCGACTTTGTGGGAGCCACCGCCACTGTGCTGGCTCAGGACCAGGGCTGCATGGTGGGTGGCTCCATTTCTCCACCCCCCCGGTTCCTGGCCCAGCTGACAGATGTGGCCAGGAACCACAACTCAGAGCTGTGCAGCTCTCTGCCATGCCAGAAACTGGGGGCAGGAGGTACTTGAGGCTCACTGCACAGACCTAGCTTGGCCCCCCAGACCTGAGCCAGCAAGCTGTGGGGGGGAGGGGTCCTGCCCGGTGGTGGCTCTCTTTCCCCCCACGCTCTAGGAGCTATAACTTAACTTGAGTCAGGAGGGGATCTGGGACAGAAATTCAATAGACCACTCTGAACCAGTTAAATCTGATGTTACATTCATCCAGGTCTATCTTAGACTGGGTTTGGCCATATTAAAACTGGTCTACATGTGTTGAACTTCTGTTCTGCTACATATTTAGCCTGGTTTCTGACCACCTAAACCAGAAAAAGTGTAACGTCTACACCTGGCCTATGACTTCATGTAAACTGATATTTATTGAATGTGGGTTGCTTACTAGACTGGATTACAGCCGGTTAGCCAGTTTTTTTTCTCATCTAACGGTGTTTAATCTTTATGAGGCTAAACTTTAGTGATTTGATTTCTTCGCTTTATTATTTTGTGGGAGTAGGCCCCTGAAGAGATGGAGTTGGAATTAACCATGTGTTTGCTGCACCAATTAGACTTTTAGTGTTGGTTCTTCAGGAAGTTTTGCTGTCACTTTCTTATGAGTACTCTGAGGTTAGATATGGAGGAAAGAAACAGTCCTCTGTCTGTTGCATCTCTTTTACAGCATTCCTAACACTTCATAGATTTCATATACATTTGGGCTGGAAGAGACCCTGGAGGATCATCGAGTCCATCCCCCTGGGATCATAGGATCCCAGCAAGATAAGCATCTAAAAGTGTCTTGAAGGCATTCAAAGTGGGTGCTTGAACAGCCTCTGGTGGCAGTCTGTTCCAAACCTTGGGGACTCGGACAGTAAAGAAGTTCTTCCTTATGTCCAGCCTGAATCGGTCATGGTACAGTTTGTGATTGTTTGATCTTGTCATCCCTTGGGGTGCTCTGGTGAACAGATGTTCCCTTGGATCCTGATGAGCAGCCCTGATAAACTTATAGGTGGCCACCAGGTCCCCC